CTCCAGACTATTCAGCTTTATTAGTACTTTATACAGTTTACCCCATTTCTTGCACTTTGAATTAAAATGTACTAAACTTAAGTAAATGCCAATAATTGAGTATCTCTGGATGGATCAATCAATAAATGTCTCAGCAGTTGTGGTTCTTGAACCTTGAGCTACCAATAGAAAGAGTTACTACAGAAATAGGAACCTGGTCTGTGTTCTATTATTTAATAAAATAATATTTAATACTTATTTAGTAAATAAATATTAACTTATTTAACGTTTATTTAATATCTATTGTTACTTAATAGAATTTTGTTTAATGTGTTATTTAATAAAAATTTTCGTAAAGCAAACCTGAATATATTTATCTTAAGAGTTACGGAGAACAGAAATTGTGAACCATAGAGTTAGTCAGGGATGGAAGAGTTTGTAGTTAAAAATACAAACGGGTAGGGCCGGCCCTGTGGCTTAGCGGTTAAGTGCGCGCGCTCCGCTACTGGCAGCCCGGGTTCAGATCCCGGGCGCGCACCGACGCACTGCTTCTCCGGCCATGCTGAGGCCGCGTCCCACATACAGCAACTAGAAGGATGTGCAACTATGACGTAGAACTATCTGCTGGGGCTTTGGGGAAAAAAAAGAGGAGGAGGATTGGCAATAGATGTTAGCTCAGAGCCGGTCTTCCTCAGCAAAATGAGGAGGATTAGTGTGGATGTTAGCTCAGGGCTGATCTTCCTCACAAAAAAAAAAAAAATACAAACGGGTAGCCTAGACACGGCACAGAAAATAACAGTGCTTGCTGTGGTTATCACATCCTGGGAAACTGGTTCCCAACTCTGCAGGGCCAGAACTTGGATTTTCGTTCAACCCCCAAACTGGAAGTTGAGACTCAAGTTTAGACTTGAAGCAGTCAGACTCGTGTGAGACCAATTTATAAAGCAGAATATAAATTCCTCGGGTGCCACTGATCTGAGCACTCAATGGCAGATTAGCACATTCTCTCTCTGAAAGAAGGACTATAAAATTAATATCAAAAGTGTGCTTGAAAGTTCAAAAGAACATGTAGAGACTGCTACATAGGGAAGAAGTGGAAAATAAGAAAACATGCATATATCTGCTTATCTTTATGAAAAGAAAAACGGGAATGATAAACCAGAAAACGAGTTCGTTACCTTCAAAGAATGGAGGGAGAGGAAAATATGGAGGGAGGGGCAGAAGGAACTAGAGGAAGCCACACTTTGCTGAGTGTACTTTTTTGTATGTTTGACTTTTGAAAGATGCCAGTATTCTACATGTTTAAGAAATAAATTAGTAAAGATGAGAAGGGGGGAAATCTAAAACTGAAAGCAAACTAAAGCAGATGAACTCAATTGTATTTTAAATTAATACTGTAAGCACACTGAAGGGAAAAAAGAAAAGAAGTCACTTATGAACACAGTGTTTAACTGTATTCCTTCAGTCTTGGGTCAGGGTTAGGTGTGATCTTGTGATTTCTAAAATGTTTGGTGTCTGTGTATATATGTGTGTATGTATACATGTGTGTATATTTGTATGTCTGTGTGTGTTTACTTGCCCTGTAGCAGTGAGCACACTGTGAGCCTAGATCTTGACCTCTGATATCCATTTCCCACTACAATGAACCAGATTCCTCAGAGAAATGGCTGCTTCCGGGACAGGGGCAAAGTAGGTTCGGGATGAGCCTAGAGCATCTTTTTATGACAGAAAGAGGAAATGCTTAAAAAATAAAAATGATGGGATCATGTCGCATGGGCCCAGTGGCAGGCTTGTCCCTGTCTGAGGTTGGGGGAGGCTGCTCCAGCCCTGTTTTGGTTACTGTCTGCCTGGCGTTTCTTTTTCAGTCCTTTCACTTTCAGCCCATCTGTGTCTTTGGATCTAAAGCAAGTCTCTTGCAGACAGCATGTAGTTGGGTCATGTGTTTTATCCACTCTGCCAATCACTCTTTTGATTGGAGCCTTTAATCCATTTACATTTAAAGTAGTTACTAATAAGGAGGGACTTCTGTCATTGTGCTCTTTGTTTTCTATATGCCTTATAATTTTTTTGTCCTTCATTTCTTGCATTACTTTTGTGTGTAATTTTTTGTAGTGAAATGTTTTAATTCCTTTCTCTTTTCCTTTTGTGTATATTCTATAGCTATTTTATTGTGGCAACCACGAGAATTACGTTTAACATCCTAAAGCTATAACACTCTAATTTGAATTTTTGCCAGCATAATATCAATAACATATAAAAACTCTTGTCTTAATTTCTTCCTCACTTTTGAAAAATAGTTTGGCTGGATATAGGATTCTAGATAGGTTGTTTTTTTTCTTTTAGTACTTTGAATATATCAGCCCAGTGCCTTCTGGCCTTCTAGCCTCCGAACTTTGTGGTAGGAAATCTTGTGACAGTCTTGTAGAGGATCCCTTGTATGTGACGAGTTGCTTACCTCTTGCTGCTTTCAAGATTCTCTCTTTGTCTTTGAATAGTTTGATTATAATGTGTCTCAGTGTGGGTCTCTCTGAATTCATTCTACTTGGAGTTGAGCTTCTTGCATGTTTATATTCATGTCTTTCATCAAACTGGGGAAGTTTTCAGCCATTATTTCTTCAAATAATCTCTCTGCCCCTTCTTCCTCTCTCTTCCGAGATGCCCACATGTGTGTGTTGGTCCGCTTGATGGTCCCACAGGTCCCTCAGACTCTCTACTTTTCTTTAGTCTTTTTCCTTTCTCTTCTTCCGACTCAATAATTTCCATCTTCCTGTCTTTGAGTTCACTGATTCTTTCTTCTGCTGGTCACATGTGCCTTTGAATCTCTAGTGAAGTTTTCATTTCAGTTATTGCACTTTTCAGCTCCAATATTTCTTGATGGTTTCTTTCAGGTTTCTATCTCTTTATTGATGTTTCCATATCATTCATACATTGTTTTCTTGACTTTCTCCAAGTCTTCCTTTAGTTCTTTGAGCATCTTTAAGGCAGTTGTTTTACAGTCTTTGTTTAGTAGATCCACCATTTGGCCTTTCTCAGTCACAGTCTCTGTTGATTTATTTTTTTCCTTTGAATGGGCCATACTTTCCCATTTGTATGCTTTATGATATTTTTGTTGATAATTGGACATTTAAATCTAATAATGTGGTAACTCTGGAAATCAGAATGTTCTCTGTCCCTGGGATTTGCTTGTTTTTGTTTTTGATTGTTGCAGACTGTCTCTGTGCCAGGGATCAGCGTGAGGTATAAATTTAGGGTCTTCATGGTCTTTTCTGAGCCTGCACCTTTCTCTGGGTATGTGTGGTGACTTTCTAATTCCCCCTGTATATGCCATTGCTTTTGAAGGTCCCTAGTCTTTAATGTCTGGCTCCCCAAAGGAGGAAAAACAGAAAAATAAAGTGGGGTTGGTGCCAGCCCTCTACATCCTCTGGAAGTCACTTAAGCCAGACGGGGAGGGGCTTGCAACAGTGTGGGGTGGAGGAGTGCAGCAGTGACTGACAGCCTCTGTGTCTCTACCTCCTTGATCAGAAGCAGTAGTCAGTGATCCAAACACAAATCCTGGTATTTGGAAGACAATTCCCTATTGCCTGCCCTGGCTTCCACAAGCTATGTGCAAGCTGCTCCTGCACTGCCTGCCATGGGTCTGGGGGTGGTGGATGGGTAGCTGCTCCCCAGCTAAGAGCTGAAATGGACCAAAATTAGTTGTGGTTTCTCTCCCAAGTCTTCCCCTGGAAGCTACAAGCCCTCAGCAGACTCCCGAGTTGCAAAACAATTTATCAGGCAGATTCTGCCAGTGCATGTTTTCCAGGTGGGAGACAGACTCCTGGTGCTTCCTATTCTTCCGTCTTCCCAGAATCCTCTCTCTAATTCATTTTTGTAGGATTAACTAACCATTGTAACAGAAATGAGAGTACTTGGCTACCTTGACTACCAGGTTTTACTCACAAGAACATTCTCAAATTTTGTGACAAAAGGCCTTTAAGGATTATCTCGGTGATTCTAAAAGCCAATTCCAACATATGTTTGCACTTTCCCTATAGAATTACCTAGAGAGAAGCTTTGTAACTTCTTACTTACCCAACGCACAGCACGTTCCTTAAGTCCCAAGCATGTTTGACTGATTTAGCAGTTGATTTCAGTGGCCTCCTTCCGTATTGCTGTGATATCAGGAGGGCATCTTTCCTTCCCTTTCTTCTCTTCTGTGTCACGAAATGTAAGCTTCCCTCTTGTTTGTTTTCCTGATTGAACTATAGGTTTTACAAGCTTTCCTTGAAATTGATCACTCATGGAAAAATGATGTCCCCTTTCTTCTTTGTTTGCCCAGACAAAAGAAACAAAGAAAAAAGTCTAAAAACCTAAAATCATATTCACAGAACATACACCATTTTTAGTTCCACAGGAAATCCAGGATTATTTTTCATAGATTTACATAGGAAAACTTAGCTAGGAAACTGTATCTTCTCACATAGTTTGTGAGGCTCAACAAGAGAGCATGTGAACGTTCTTTGAAAAGCATAAAAACCTTGTCTTTTTTGAATCTTCTCTATAAAGCAGGAAAAAAATTCCAAGCTGTGAGGGGGGAATGTAAAAAATAGAAGCCTGAAAGACTTTATAGTCTTACCTACCTGAGAGAAACAGGGGAATTTGGAAATTCTTCAGACTAGCCATCTAACCAAATACTATATATCATATATATACTACAAATTGTTTAATAATAGCAAAGTCAGTAGTATTCATTGTATTCTGCAACTTGATTATAAAAAGTGTCTAAAATAACATCTTACATTCATATAGCATAGTTTGTTTTAAAGGAGGTCAAAGTATGGTAAAAAATACATCTCAAGTTAATCTAACCAACTTTCAGTTTACTGTATGGTAATATCTTAGTTGTTAAAAGTGTAAGTGTATTGGAAATGTACGTTTCAGATTATAAAGTAAAAATAACTGAAAAAAATCTCCTTTTTTCGCAGCATTAATGTGTAATGTATAACTAAGTATGGCTCTGTGTATGTGTGTGTTTCTTTCAGGGCTAGTGGTTGGCTTTATCCTGACCATTGCAAATTTCAGCTTTTTTACCTCTTTGCTGATGTTTTTCCTTTCTTCTTCAAAACTCACTAAATGGAAGGGAGAAACAAAGAAACGTCTAGATTCAGAATATAAGGAAGGTAAATATAAGGAAGGTAAAATGAATTATGTTTTAACATTACTTAAAATAGTAACCTTTATTTCATCCTAACATATCATAAGCTTTTAATCAGAACATGTTTAGACTGTTGAGAGAGATAAATTTTATATGAGAATGACTTTAAGTAGTAGCCTAATTTAGTTTATCCTTACTACACCACAATGCCAAGTAACAGCAGAATTTTTGAAGCACTGAAATTTATCATTAAGTATTCTAAAGCAATATAGAATGTGGGCACAGGTACCATCTCACTTTTAGTCATTTTTAAAATTATAATTTTTCTTTTCTTAAACTTTAAAATACAAGTTCCTGTAAGTACATGATTTTCCTTCTGAGAAGAAAACCTGTCTTGTCCCTTTCGTGTGCTTGTTTGTTTCTAGGCGGGCAGAGGAATTGGGTTCAGGTGTTCTGTAACGGAGCTGTGCCTACAGAGCTGGCCCTGCTGTACATGATAGAAAATGGCCCCGGGGAAATCCCGATCGATTTTTCCAAGCGGTACACTGCTTCATGGATGTGTTTGTCTCTCTTGGCTGCACTGGCCTGCTCTGCTGGAGACACATGGGCTTCAGAAGTTGGCACCGTTTTGAGTAAAAGCCCACCAAGGCTGATAACAACCTGGGAGAAGGTTCCGGTTGGTGAGTCTTTATTGAAGTTTCTTTAAAAAACAAAAATGAACAAAAACCCCTTGATTTATTGTGTTTTTTATTTAAGAGTCTTTTTAAGAATTTTAGTTAGTCATCTTAATTGAAAAATTGCTGCAGGCTCTTAAATTGGTGATAATAAATAATATTTTCAGGAAATGTTAGCAAATTCTAGGTAAGCAGTACAGAAGAGTAGAGATTGACCCACAGTCGCATCAGTGGGAAGGGAAAAGGAAGGAAACAGGAGAGTATTTCCTGAGGGCCCGTTAGTGTTGAGTGCTTTGGCGGCTGTCTCGGTCCCTGTTATCGTTGTTGTCAATAGCGAGTGCTCTTTTTGTCTGTATCATCATCTCCTCCTCCTCCTCCTTTTTCTTCTCCTCCTTCCTCTCCTTCTTCTTTCTTTCTTCCTTCTCTTCATCATTATCATTATTGTTGTCATCATAATGGCTAATGTATTTGAGTACCTACTATGTGCAAAGCAGTGTTGGAACTGCTCTACGTGGATTACCATTTAGTACTCTTAATAATCATGTCAATTGGCTCTTTTATTGTTTCCGTCTTACAAACAAGGAAACTAAAGCATTGAGAAGTTAGGTAACTTCACCACAGTAACGTAGCTTGGAAGTGGCAGAACTAAGTTTGAAACCATACAGTCTGGCTCCACTAAATCATCCACATCACTGCTTAGAATGTCAGCAGTTGCTGAGGAGAGAAGACTGTTTTCTAAGTCGGCTGTGGTCGTTGGATTGCATCAGAAAGAACCTTTCTGTGTATTAGTCTTGATTAGATAGGTACCAGAATTTTTTGCTTTTCTTGACTTTATGTGTTTGCTGATTGTTAACCAAATGATTTTATCCATGTTTCTTCTTCAGGGACCAACGGAGGGGTTACAGTGGTGGGCCTTGCCTCCAGTCTCCTTGGTGGTACCTTTGTGGGCATCGCATACTTCCTCACACAGCTGGTTTTTGTTAATGATTTAGACATTTCTGCTCCCCAGTGGCCAATTATTTTATTTGGGGGTCTGGCTGGATTACTAGGATCAATTGTGGACTCATATTTAGGAGCTACAATGCAGTTTTCTGGTAAGAACATTACCTTATTATTTTTAAAGGTATAATTATAAGGCAACTTACTGGTGTGTTAAAGAAATGGAAAAGAGGGCCGGCCCCATGGCGTAGCAGTTAAGTGCACACACTCCGCTGCTGGTGGCCCGGGTCCGGATCTCGGGTGCACACCGATGCACCACTTGTCAAGCCATGCTGTGGCGGTGTCCCACATAAAGTAGAGGAAGATTGGCACGGATGTTAGCTCAGGGCCAGTCTTCCTCAGCAAAAAGAGGAAGATTGGTGTGGATGTTAGCTCAGGGTTGATCTTCCTTACAAAAAAAAAAAAAAGAAAGAAATGGAAAAGACAGGGCCGGCCCTGTGGCTCAGCGGTTGAGTGCACGTGCTCCGCTGCTGGCGGCCAGAGTTCGGATCCCGGGCGCGCACCGATGTACCGCTTCTCCGGCCATGCTGAGGCCGCGTCCCACATACAGCAACTAGAACGATGTGCAGCTATGACGTACAACTATCTACTGGGGCTTTGGGGGGGAAAATAAATAAATAAATAAAATCTTTAAAAAAAAAAAGAAATGGAAAAGAAAAAAAAAAAAGATGTGACAATGAAAACAATCCCAAAGACACAGGTTGTTGGACCAGGAATGATAGGGCAAAGTCTCTTCTACAATTTTCATTTTCTTATGCTTTTGTGTTAAATTAATTGAAAGGAGGAGTCCTGTGGGGCAATGAGCAGAAGCTGTGTAGGGAGGGTAAGGCAGTACAGGAAGCAGGTGCTTCTACGTATGGGGCTTCACCTAGTCCCAGGAAAGCGGAACATCTGGGATCAGAGCATTATAATGCCCCTCCTTCTGTTTGTTTTCAAAGTCCATTTGAGAAATAAGTATTCTACTGTTCTGACGATACACAAATGACCTCTTTTCTGCTGTGACGTCGTGTTTGCTGTCCTCTCCAGGATATTGGGAGAGCTGGTTTCCCCGGGTTTCCTGTGCTTTGCCTCTGGGCCTCTCCTGTCACGTCAGTGTACTGGCGTGTTCTGTTGGGTGTGTGTTTGCTCCACACTCTAACCGACCGTGTTTTCTCCTCTGATTCATAATGAAGAGGCTGGCCTCTGGAGGAAGGTTCCCTGGGACCCTCCTCCCAGTTCTCTTTATGCCCCAAAATAATCTCCTGCCCTTCCGTTCTCCACCCCCGCAGTCAGAATGTTTGTTCTCTCAGCTTCCTCAGTCTCATCAAGATGCTCAGGGGGAAGCAGTCTGATTTTAATTGACACCACACACCACACACCACACAAACATTACACGTTTTTTAAAGAGCTTAGGTTTTATTCTACACTGGGCTCTAACTGGCGAAGTTTCTGATCATATTGAGTGGGTTGAAAAAAAATGGGCTGTGGGGCAAATTCACTCAGTATATCTTTGTGCCAGCACTTTGTGGGGTCCTGGGTATCCATCATGGAGGCCACAGGCGTGATCCCTACTCTCAGGGGCCTCAGATTGGTCTTAGAGGGGAACCACTGGCAAGGCAGGCCCAGGCTCCCGGTTGCATGCCATCTCTGCTTTTCATGTTCTCCCTTCTACTTCCAAAGAGACTCCAGCAGTGTTGAGAGACCAGTACTGGGGTGTGCTGAAATCCATTTATTCAAAGTGGTCTTTTGTAATCCACAATTCCATAGCTCTCACCATATAGATTATCTACTAAAGTCATTTTACAAGTGGCTGAGAATCTTTCAAAATTATCCCCTTTGGAGGAGAAGAGCTAGTTTGTTCTTTTTTTAAATCAAGTCCTTTGAATTTTCTTCTCCAGGTTTGGATGAAATTACTGGCATGGTGGTCAACAGCCCAGCGAGTGAGGTGAAGTACATAGCAGGGAGACCCATTCTCGATAACAATGCTGTGAATCTGTTTTCTTCTGTTCTTACTGCCCTCCTGCTCCCAACAGCTGCTTGGGGGTTTTGGCCCAGGGAGTGAACTTTATTTCATTTACAAAGGTTGAAACTGTGGTAAGTTCAGCTAAATTTGCAATTCCAGGTTTCATCCTAAGAAGAATAATAATGACAGTGGAAATGCTGGCTCCTTCCATGGTCCATTGTGATGGAATTCCACATTTTTCCTATCAACTCCTTGTAATAGCTATCATCTTCCTCGTGAAAGACAAGAGTACATAGAACTTATCCATATTTTTCTTCGCTCAGTGGAGCTTCCTGAGCAGTGAAGCTAAAATGTCCATGTATATTGCTAAAAGTTGAACTGAAAGATCCTACTTGGTAGATAAAAATTTTGTTTTGTTTGTTTAAACCAGTATAGGAACTAAAAGTGATAAAATTTTTTAAAGTGGTTCTCAATAGTGGTGGAGAAATGCCACTGTGCCAAATGTTCTGTCTGTTGTAAGTGGTTCAAACTGGTGTGTGTGGAAGCCTGAGTAAGTGTGGTGTCCTGGACTTCTCCCATTACTTGCTGTTTACGATGGTGAAAAGTGTGGAGTTTGGTTCCTGGGGAGCTGTGAGGCCTCCTTCCTCAGGGTTAGTGATAGAAAAAAAGTAAATGTCTTGTTCATATGACCATTTAGAATGTGTGAAAAAATTATTTTTAAGTAAAAGCAAAAGAGATTTATCTTGTATTTAAAATATGTGCACCTTACTATATATTTCAGGTGATCTCAGCAGAAATTATCTCTAATATTTTTTTATGTATTTTCTAGCTTTCTTTGAAATTTGTATAGGAATCTGGTTTACATTGGCATCTTGAACAGTTAGAGTCACTGGAAGAATACTTTTTGTTTGCTCTCCTAGAATTTGCTGGAAGGTGCTGTGATTCTCCATCCTGTCCCTTCTGTGTTGTGCTCTCCTGCACGTTACAGCCTCAACTGCAGTGCATCCTACTTCTCAGTGGTGTCTTCATGGTGGCTCACTGTCTGCTAAAGGAATGTGGTGTGGTGTGGATTTTTTTTTTCTGAAAGTATTTTGAAATACTTCTCATATGATTTCCATACCTTTCTCCCGTGTCCCTTTTGCGTTCTTAGAGAAATGGGGAGGAGATTCCGTGAATAAGTCACTATCAGAGTGGATAAAGCTTAGAATTCTTTATAGGTGACCCTACTACAGGGATGATCTAGAACTGACTTGGTTCAGGAAGAATTAAAAAACAGTTGACACCCTTAATCCTTAAGCCAAGCAATTCAGTGAGTGTCAGCCATTGGTTTGCAACATTGGGTATATGTTGGAATCACCTGAGCGTCTTTTTTTTTTTTTTTTTTTTTGTGAGGAAGATCAGCCCTGAGCTAACATCTGTGCTAATCCTCCTCTTTTTGCTGAGGAAGACCGGCTCTGAGCTAACATCTATTGCCAATCCTCCTCCTTTTTTTTTCCCCAAAGCCACAGTAGACAGTTGTATGTCATAGTTGCACATCCTTCTAGTTGGTGTATGTGGGACGCAGCCTCAGCATGGCCGGAGAAGCGGTGCCTCTCTGCGCGCCCGGGATCCAAACCCGGGCCACCAGTAGTGGAGCGTGTGCACTTAACCGCTAAGCCACAGGGCCGGCCCAATCACCTGCGCGTCTTTAAAAAAATACTTGTATCTGGGCTTCACCCCCAAAGATTCTGATTTACCTGGTCTGGGGTACAGCTTGGGTATTAGGACTTTTTAAAGCTCTGGCTACCCCTTAGAATCATGTAGGGACTTTTAAAAAGTACTATTGCCAAGGTCCCTCTCTAGACCAAGTAAATCAGAATGTCTGAAGGTGAGGCCCATACATGGTTATTTTTAGAAGCTCTCTGGGAGATTCTAATGTTTAAACAGGTTGAGAACTACTATGTAAGCATATCCTAAAGCACTATACCTAAAAGAAATTTCAGAAGAGTGGGACTTTTGATTTCTGTGCAGACAACCATTAACAGCAGTGCTGTATGCTGTCTTTATGGATGAATAGCTTCTGGTAATTATAAAATGTCTCATAGCTGCATCACTTACCAGATCATTCCTGCGTCAATCTTTCGTGCAGCCTGTTTATTCCTGCAGCTGTTCTAACATACCTGTTTTCTCTTTTCCTGGAGATTCATCCTCTTGACATACTGTGGGACAAAAATATTTATTGAAACCATCTTGGGGTTTAGTAGAATCACCGTATCATTAATAGTTTGGGGAAATACTGCTTCACAACAATCCTTTATTTGAAAACCTAGGGCTAGTTGTGTTTTGGAATCAAAATTTTTCAGATTTTAGAAAAGTGATAGGGTACATACAAAATATTTTACTTAGAACTCTCAAAAGAGTCTAGGGCAGCACTCATTATCCAAATAGACTATAAAGACCCTCAGAACAGGTCAGGTCAGGTTTTGTCACCAAACTTAGGAGAAACTTTCTGTTTTCAGAGCTTTTGTGGGTATGAGAATTATAGATAAGGATTATGGCTCTTTTTTAAAATTTTAGATGTATTTTACTGTAACATCCTTTATAATTGGATATTTAACTAGTTCTGCCTATTCTTCCTCTTTATTGAGTGAGCAGTTGATATAAAAAAACTTTTCATGGAAAGAGCTCCATGGAACAGTATAGTGAAACAATATGTTCTGCCTACCTAGGCAGCCTCAAGGTGTATGTACTATTTCTTGTCATACTGTTACACAGTAGAGCAAGGTGTACGTGGCTCAGGGCAGCTCCTGAGGGGGACCTGAAGACTTCAAGGAGTGGCACTTGGAGACTCATCAGATGGAGCCACCAGGAGAACAATGAAGTGATACAACATTCTTGGCTTGTCTTATTACTTGGGTTTTCTGTTTCTCAGCCAAGGTGCATATATCTCTCTTGTTTCTAGCTGCTATATATATATAGATATATATATGTTGGATGCTGGCTTCAGAAATGCCAACCCCTCCCAGTTCGATACAGACCTAGTGTGGAGGAAAATCGTGTGAGGTGAGGTATTGTGAACTTAGCTGCGTGCCTGCAGGGGCACAGTGGGTATACTGTGCCTGAGCATCTGATGTTCCTGCCATTACAGTGAGAAAAAACTACTTAGCCACCAAATCCCAGGTGAATTGTGTGTGCTTTAAAGATGAAAACTCAATTATGCAGCTTAATTATTTTAATCGCCTAATGGAGTATCTGTTGCTATAACTCCAAATGGTCCTGAACATTTAAAAAATATATAGGTGTTGAATGTATGTTTGTTAAATTTTTTTTACTCTAATCACTGTTTCCTTTAAGAGTCACTGAAAGTTGATAATCAGGAATATAATTCTGGAGAAAAATCAAAAGTAGGAAAATCAGCTTGGCTACCTGAATTTCTGAGGACTGTGATGATTCCAACATTTCTCAATCATGTGAGTCAATAGTGATGGTTTTGAGCTAATGAGTCAGGAAATGATTGTAGGAGTGAGGGTGAGGCCATGTTGGCAGACAAGGCTCCTGAAGGTATTTTCCCTGCCAAGATTAGACATGTTAATTCTCTTTCATTTATCATAACCACCTCCTTCAAAATTTATGCATGTGGCAACTCTTTTTTTATGTTTGGATTTTTTTCTTTTTATTAATGTTTAATTACTTAATACACCGAATCTATTCTTCTTTTTAAAAAATTAGAACCTTAGAGATAAAGCTAAAATACTCTTTTGCCTCCACTACCCCCTCAACAAACCTAGCCCCCGTCCACCTTCCCCAAAATAACTACTGCTAGAAATTTGAGATATTTTCTACATAATATTTGTTTTGGGTGTATTTTAGCACTCATTCTTCTTAATGAATGAAATTTTGTTATAATTAGTACCATCATTTTACTGCTTCAAGTCAGGTGTTTACATCCAAGAAAAACCTATTTAGAAAAAAAGATTAGAAGGATGTATACCTAAATATTAATGTGATATCTGGTAACATTACAGATGATTTTTATTTTTGTTGAAATAATTTTAAGTTTATGGTATATGAATTATATCTCAATAAAGCTGCTACTACAAATACATATGCAAAAATAATTTTAAGTACTTTTCTAAAAAGTTTGCAATCAAATGTGTTTCCTCTACAAATCAAAAAGGGCTCAAAGTAAACAAAATAATCTGGGAATTACCCCTCTTCCCCATCTACCTCTCCCCATCATTATTTTAAATGGTATTCCTTCTCTTTGTAAACTACCTTATTAGCAATGAATTAACAGAGTAAAATGGGGTTTTAGTATAACATAATGAAAAGTAACAGTGGATGCTCAAAGGAATCTTTTGATACTCTCAATTTTGGATTGTTGCAAAAAATAATGTAAGTATCACATATCTTCATACCTATGTAGTATATTTTGTTTGAAACTGGATTTTTTGCAAATTTTTCAAAATCTTCATATTTGCATTTGGAATTGTGCGTGCAAGCACTTAATTGCATCACAAAATTCTCAACACGTCGTCATAGAATTCTAGAGCAAAGAACCTTAAGGAATCTTCTCAGCCCATTGCCCACACTTGAAGCTGAAAATACATGGACCATCTGCTATGAGTGAGTGTAATCTTTCAAACATGCTTTAATGCCTTCTTTACGTACACTGTCCTTTCTGTGTGGAACTCCTTTGCCCTCTACCCCCTTACTGATCCTTCGAAAACCAGCTCAGTGGCACTTCCTCTGAGAAGCTTTTCAGCTGAATTAGTTATCCCCATACACATTCTACACTTGAACTATAGTAGTTATCACATAGTGAACATTTATTGACTTAATACCCTCAGTGTGTTAATACTTAACCTTTTTGTTCCAACTACCAGTTCTCCCTATTGTTAAGACCTAGCAAGTGTGGAAAGGCTCTAAACGTTTCTTTTGGACTAAATATGGTTTTAAAGTCCATTTGTGGGACCAGAATAATAAGGATTCTATTATTTCCTCTTGATCTCATCAAGCTACAATTTTTAAGTGGTGATACCATATGGGATTACCAGGGAATAAACCCGTTAGGAACTGGGTGCTGTACATACAGGTCCCCACATTTCTGTGGTGGCCATCTGTGTAGTGTTGCATGCAATAACTCAATTACAGTTCTAATAAAATTTGATCCTAAAGTTGGTCTTTATAATGGACCAACAAGATATTATTGACCAAGATTAATTCCTCAGATTTTTCCCATAAAGTGGTACACTAAATTGTGTCCAAACACTGACCATTCATGTGCTTCCTTAGTGATTAACAAGCAGCTTCTCTTTCTCTTTTTTACATACCCTGTAACCTGGCATATGTAGAAATAGATATTGAAATAATTTTTTTCCTCTATTTTTAAAGTAATAAATTCATTACATAAAATTTAGAAAAAATTTAGAAAAGAGTGTAAAATTTTAAAAAGATGCT